GTTAGTCACCTAACTACAAGGAGCGTGATCGTTGATTGACCTGCCAACGCAAGCAATCTCATATCGGAACGTGGAGATTCCACCGAGATGTCATTCAACTGACAGACTCGAAGCTGATTTTGATAACTAGTTCCAATTGTCATGCGAGTACAGATGCGAGAGAATCCTCCATGAGAGAAACCCCTCCACGAGAGAAAATCCTCCATGAGAGTTGATGATTTTTTTTTCCCGACCCTTCCCACCCTTTTCTAATTTTTTTTTTACTTTCGAACCTTCTTCTCGCTATATACTGTACTCCCCTTATTATCTTGAGGCCACTTATCGAACAAGGAAGGTGTTACGATAAGACGACATTCTGTCGTAGAAATAAGGGTTATCATTACATTCATATCTGAGAGCTCTCCAACTCATATTTTAGCATAGGATTTTTCCGTGATGTAACCATTGGTTCGCATAAAGTAATTTGAGGCATCACGATGTCATTGTCGGAAGAATTTTACTTTATTTAGACGATTGATCCCCGTCTACCTATGCTCATGACAATTGCAAGAAAGGAAACATCCGTTTGAAGTTATTATTATTATTATTTTGCCTCCCCTAGCTCAAAATTCAGCATACTAACTTCTTTTTGAATTCCCGATCAGAGTCCAATTGAAATAACAAGAAAATTTTTACAACAAAAGAAGCTTAGTCCACAGCGCTATCCTACTGTACATTACACTACTCTGAGTAATGTACAGCATTCTCGTACACTTTTTCGAAAAAAATACTTTAAAATAATGAACATTGCCCCCATTAGCCCACGTAAAACAATTGTTCTAACTACCACATGTCCTAAAAATACTGGGAGATAGAACACATGTGCAAGCATTTTTCGAAAGTAAGCTTAACAGTTGCATTTTCCCCTCCCCCATTACTACGAGATCGAAGCTTTAAATACCGGACGAGCGCTCAGTCCGCTTCACTCGTAAGGCTCACAAAAATTCCAAAGCCGCGTCTGCAACTGTTAAAACCAAACTAGCTGCACCAATCCACCCAGTCCCCATACATCAGACCGCCAAGTAGTTCCATCTTTTCCAATTTTCACGCTAATCCATAATTTAGAAGTTGACCACGTGCCAGTTCCACCAGATTGTTCAAGGTGGAGAACAACACCGCTCCAGACGAAGAACTCGATCAGCCCAGTATCGAAGAGCCTGTTGGAACTCGCACGCGGAATAAACTACGGCACCGTGAGGTCAAGGAAGTAAGTGCACAAGAGGAAGGATCAGGAGCAAGCCAAATCGTGAAAAAGGAAGCTCAGGATTACCCAAGAGAGAGATCACCAACATCTCCACAGGACTCTACGGACTCAGACTATATTCCTAGTAAAGTACGCCAATTTTCTAAAAAAACTTTGCCTTCTAAATCTTCTAAACCTCAAAACATTTCTTCTCCTATTAAAGACACCGCTCCTTCTAAATCTCCTGTTCTTAAATCTCCTACTGTTAACCCTCCTAATCCTAAATCTTCTACTCCTAAAGCTCCTCCAGCTCAAAGTACTTCTAAAGCTCCACCTGTTAAAACCACTCCTAAAGCTCCTCCGACTCGAAAAAACAAGCGACAGCATCGCAATTTTGACAAAACTCTCAATCCTCAAAATCCTCATAGAAACGACTCCTCTCCTAAAAGATTCAAAGGAATCAGTCACTTTATTTCGGAAGTTTTAAGATCATCCCCCTCAACCGAGCTAATTGAAATCGTGAGAAATTTGAAAAACCGAAAATCTTTAAGTGAGAGAGATTCTTTAACGCCACTTGCAACTTCCACCCCTCAAAGAGAGATGGCAAACTCTGGACCCGAAATCGTAGAGGTACCTCCTCCGGGAGCAGGCAAAAACAATGTTATAAGAGCGGCAGGGAACCCTCTCTGTCCTAAATATAAGGGTACCAGTAGTTTCAAAGAATTTATCAGAAAATTCGCTCTTTTCGCTAACTCTGCCGGTCTTGTAATCCCCGAACGTCTTGCTATCCTACCACTCTTGCTCGAAGCACCCGAAGCTGAAACAGCTTATTTTGATATCCCCGAGACAATAAGAAAGCAAGGTCCTTGGAACGTTTTGATTGAACAACTCCAAGAAAGACTTCTAACAGATCTTGAAAGAGACGACGCCCTTCTTGCTTTGCAAAACACCTCTCAAAACGAATTATCTGTTGCTGCATATGCGAGACTTCTTGAATCTCTCAGTTTAGACGCTTTTCTACCAAACGACCCCTCAAAACCTAATATCATGAAAATCACTTTCATTAGAGGCCTGCGTAACAACCTTAAGCAAGCAGTTTTGAGAAGCGAAGCTAAA